AAAAGCAAGAAAGAACGGATAAGAATGATAGAAGATTATCGGATAACTTCCAGGCAAACATTAAAGTGTTCTGGAAACTCGTAAGAACTGCCAGGGGACATTCAAAACAGCCTAAAATGAATGCTATACGAGACCAGAATGAGACGAAGTTTTGAGTTTAAGAAGATGGAAGGAATACTTTGAAAGCGTGTTTATAAGTGATGAGACGTTTGAATTAAATGAAATAGAAATTCCGAACGAAGAGGAAATAGATAGAGATATAAGTATAGATGAAATAATAAAAGCAATGAAAAGTATGAAAGCAGGTAAGGCAGCCGGATATGATAGAGTATCTCTCGAAATGCTAAGGGCTGGAGAAGGAGTGGTGGCAGACCTGCTGTACACCTTGTTTAATTTATGTTGGGAACTAAAGTGGGTACCGGGAAACTGGTGCAAAGCCATGATAGTCCCAATGTATAAAGGAAAAGGATCACAGCAGGATTGTAAAAACTACCGTGGTATCAGCCTTCTTAGCATTGTGGGAAAACTGTATGCTAAGGTACTAATTGAAAGCGTTATGAAAGAATCTGATGGAAAAATTTGGGACGTGCATGCGGGATTTAGAAAGGGAATGGGATGTACGGATCAGATCTTTTCCATGCGCATGGTCGCGGAGAAGTTTTCGGCCAAAAACCAAAAAGTTTTTTTTACGTTCATGGACCTGGAGAAGGCTTATGACAGAGTGGACAGGGATATGTTATGGCAAACACTGAACTCATTTGGGTTGAGCGCTGGGTTGATACAGGTATTGAAATCTCTGTATAGGGACTCTAGTGCTTGTGTCAGATTCAACGGGGCCTACTCGGACTGATTTGGCATCCATAAAGGTGTCAGACAGGGATGTGTGACTTCCTCGTGGCTGTTCAACCTATTTATGGACAGTTGTTTGGAAAATTTGAAAGTAGAGGAATGCGGGTTAAGAATGGGTGAGTTAACCGTCAAATGCCTTTTGTACGCCGATGATCAAGTCATACTTGCATCGTCGGCGGCCGAGTTGCAAATGGTGGTTACATTAATGAACAGGACATTAAAAGAAAAGGGAATGAAAGTGAACGCAAGTAAGGCGAAAGTTATGGTTTTTGAAAGAGAAGAAAGTAAAACGATATGTGAAATAAGAATAGAAGGGGAGTTGGTCGAACAAGTAGATGAGGTTGTGTATTTGGGATGTGTGTTTAGCAGGGATGGTAGATATGATAAGGATATAGAACGACGAGTGAATGCAGGAAATAGAGTGGATGGGGCTCTACACCCTATTGTGAAGAGTCAGAATGTGTCCAAAAAGGCGCGTATGGTAATTCACAATGCTGTGTTAGTACCTACTTTAATGTATGGTAGTGAAAGTTGGGTGTAGCAGAAGACGCACGAGAGTAGAATAAATGCTGTGGAAATGCGGTCATTAAGGAGTATGTTAGGGATGAATCTGAATGACAGAGTGAGAAATTTTTTAATAAGAGTCTTCTCTGAGTGTGGTTTGCAAGACGATGTTGTGACCAGGATTAAGAAAGGAATGCTTCGGTGGTTTGGTCATGTAGAAAGAATGAATGAGGAAAGAGTGACAAAGTAAATTTATGTTGCAGAGGTGAACGGCAGAGTCGGGAAGGGTCGCCCGAGGCGAAAGTTTATCGACCAAATTGGCGATATATTGAAAATGGGCCAAATCAAGTGTACCTTTAACCGACGAGCGTGTATGCGTAGGTATATCGATGTGGAGGAGGCGAGAGAGGTGTGTCAGGATCGTGCCAAATGGAAGTCCATAGTCTCTGCCTACCCCTCTGGGTGACAGGCGAAAGTGTTTATATATATTACATCACAATTTTTTAGTGCCTGGCCATATGCACTTAGAATGTAACAGTGATCGCGGAGTAATAGAGAGATTTTTTAAACACTGCAGAGTGACTGTTTCAGTGCCCTAAAATTGGGTAAACATTATACAAATAACAAGTCGCCGATACACAAGAAGATTTTTTGGCTTCTCTCAACTTTTAAAATCCACATTAATGAAAAGAAACTGTTATACTGAGAAGCAATCATTTACATGGATGTTGAAAAAATGTGGCATTCAAATTATCATAAGAGACTGGTGAACCTTTCAGATACTATTCTTTTTTGAAACGAGGTAATAAGACCTTACTGAGTGATATATGCCCACCTTAAGCATATTTGAGACCATTGTCAGCATGCTCAAAAAGTATAATGACATAATGAGTCTTCTGTACACCATTATTTAAAGTATAAGTTATTTAAGTACCAAAAAAATTAAGTAAAGTTGCAGTAGATGTTACTAGTGATGATGGCACTGTCAGAATTTTTTATTATTTATCTATCACAATGTTATCGAGGTTTGTTTTTATCCAAAAACTAGCCTAATTTTATTGGCACAGTATTAGAAAATACTACACAAGTACATAACGTACGCACTCCATTCACAAAACGCTCCTGTTCCCTCTCACACCAATAATATATTACCTACCGTCAACCTTTGTTGGGGCAGCTAGGGGCGATTACACCTACGTTACTACTTCTTTTTTCCTCGTACTCTCTTGCTTACTTCATCGGTTCACGAAATGAATGAAAATACTTATTGTGATTAATTGCAACTTTCTCTTCATACTTTTACGAACTTAGGATCGGCAAATTTACTTTTCTTTTGTAAGAAAATAAAAAAAATTAAATGATTTTCAGAACAGACACGGAAATAAATTTTGGCGTATTTTAAAAAGTAAAACGCCTTGCCGTTTTTTCGCTTTATTAAAAGCATTTATTATGCACTTTTTTAAGTTCTGCATATTGATAGGCTCACTCATATACAATACCCCCTCATGTGCCCGACCGTTTTATGGTTTTACGATTCAAGTGTCAGGGGCTGTTCGGGATGTCGCGCGATACAGGTAGGTGCTAATATAAACAATAACATCTTTTTAATTTTGTATGCCAGCTATATGTATAAAACTTATACTCATGGATTTGTTATGAACTAAGATATTTAATACTACTTTATAAATATTAAATTCTATTTTTATAATATTATCAATCTCATTTCAAAATTGCGTGACGTAATTTTGCCTATTTCTTTTACTTAAAGTGTAAGGATTACGAAATTAAGACGTTATGTTAAAAGGTATTTGTTTTATTTGCATAACAACACAATATTATATCAAAAGAAATTAAAAAAAATCACACCCCCTCAATAAATTTTTTCACACAACAATTTTTTAATATCTACCTCCTTTTACGCGTCAAAACAAAAACAGGTTAAGCAATCGAAAATTTTCAAATCGAAAACGTTGGATAAAGTTACATTACGGCCTTATCTTTAATCTATGTTGTTCAAAGATTAAAACAACATAGATTAAATACACATCATGAAAGAGGTATGTAAGGATCGTGACACTTGGCAATCTGTTCTCTCTGGCTACCCCGTCAGGGATTGTGCGTGAAGATAAGTATCATGTAAGATAAGTGATTTTTTTTTCTTTATTCTCGAAAATAGTTATGTTTTGAGTAAACTTTATAATTGCCATTAAACTTGATTAAATAAAAATTAAGACATACAATGGTTATATTTTCTTTTATTGTTTAAATAGTTCGAAATTTCGGTCTGTATCTAATCAAAATCTTTAAAGTGCCATACTGAAAAAATGTGGTTTTTTTTACATATATTTTTAATAATATTTCTCCTCACCACCACAGTTTTCTTCCTATCGATTTTCGGTTCGTCGAGCTATGTATATGGCCGGCCCATTACCACTTCAGCTTATTGATCCGTTAGTAATGTCTTAGATATTAAATATCTAAGACATGTGTTATTTTTATTATATTACTCTGACAAATAAGCTAACAGCCATACCCAAAGAGGGTTGGTGTCAGGCAGGCGGCCGACTGTAAAACTTTTGCCAAATCCCATGCAGTAAATGAATAGTACGAGTTGTGGGACATATGACAGGGCTAGGGCGTACCCCGCAGGCGACGCGCAGGGGCAGCACCCAGCTCCTGTGGGAAGTGGGCAAGGGTTGTCGCACCTTACGGAGCGGGTGCGACGTAAGAGGCGAGCCCGGAGAGAGAAGAATGTCAGAGTGAGGTTTGCAAGCTGGAATATAGGTACGATGACTGGAAGAGGAAGAGAGTTAGCAGATGTTTTGAAACGACGAAGAGTGAATGTTGCCTGTTTGCAGGAAACAAAATGGAAGGGCAATAAAGCAAGAGAGATTGGGGAGGGATACAAGTTTTATTATTGTGGAAGTGATGGGAAGCGAAATGGAGTAGGAGTTGTGTTAGATAGTGGAATGAAAGAACGAGTGACAGATGTGAAAAGAGTAAATGACAGAATGATAGTTGTTAAATTAATGATTGAAAACAAAGTAGTGAATGTTGTAAGTGTGTATGCTCCGCAAACAGGCTGTGAAGAGAGTGTGAAAGAGAAGTTTTGGGAGGAATTTGATTGTATGATGATGGGAATACCTGAGCGTGAGGATGTTTATATGGGAGGAGATTTTAATGGACATGTAGGGAGAGTGAATGACGGGTATGAAAGAGTACACGGTGGATGGGGGTACGGAGTGCGAAACCGTGAGGGGGAAGTTCTTCTGCAAGCAGCATGTGCTTTCGACCTGGCTGTAGTAAACACGTGGTTCCAAAAACGAGATCAGCATCTTGTTACTTATAAAAGTGGCCACCACGCGACACAGATCGACTATCTTCTGATAAGACGGAACCAAATCAAGAGTGTAAAAAACTGCAAAGTGCTTCCAGGTGAAGACTTAGTATCCCAGCACCGAATTCTGCTGGCTGACATCTGCTTAACTGTTCGCCTCAACAAACATAAGGATCGTCCCCCACCCAAAATAAAGTGGCATTTGCTGCATAAGGAGGGGTATGCAAGTGAATTTAGAGAGCTAGTTGTAAACAAGATGATAGAGATGGGTGATATGGAAGGAATGAGTGTGAATGAGTGCTGGAAGGAAATGGCTGATTGTATCAGAAGTGTGGCAAGGAAGGTGTTAGGAGAAACAAAAGGGAAGCGTATGATAGATATGGATGGGTGGTGGTGGAGTGAAAGTATTAGAGAAGTTTTGAGAGAAAAGAAAAATGCCTTTAAAGAATGGCAGAGCGTAGAAGACCAGAATGAATCCATAAAAGAAAGTAAGAGAGGGGCGTATAAAGAATGTAAGAAGAGAGCGAAGAAGGAAGTTGCTATTTGTAGGGCAGAGGCACACGATAAATTATATCGGTCCCTTGAAAGCCCCGAAGGTCAAAAACGACTTTTTCAAATTGCAAGAGCGAGAGAAAGGAATGGAAGAGATGTTTCACATGTAAAATGTATAAAAGATGATTCTGGAAGTATTTTGACTGACGATGAAAGTATAAAGAAGCGATGGAAGGAGTATTTTGAGAAATTGATGAATGAGGAGAATGAATGGAATGGTATGCTTGAAAACCCACCAGTGAATATGGGCTTAGTGAGAGAAATTAGTGTGGAAGAAGTAAAAATGGCTGTTAGGAATATGAAGAATGGGAAGGCGGTCGGCCCAGATGGAATACCAGTAGAAGTGTGGAAGTTGCTGAGGGCGGATGGATGGAAGTGGTTGAGTTTATTTTTCGGTAAATTGTTGCAGGAAGAACAAATACCTGAGGAATGGTGCAGTAGTATACTGGTTCCCATTTTTAAAAACAAAGGAGACGTTCAAAACTGCAGCAGTTACCGGGGAATAAAGCTCATGTCACATACGATGAAAGTCTGGGAAAGAGTAATAGAGAGAAGAATGAGAGAAGAGTGTGAGATAACACAAAACCAGTTCGGATTCATGCCCGGTCGAGGTACGACAGATGCCATTTTCGCATTACGCCAATTGTGCGAAAAGTACAAGCGCGTGCATAAAGATCTGCACATGGTTTTTGTCGACCTTGAAAAGGCGTACGATCGGGTTCCCCGTGAGGTCGTGTGGTGGGCGTTAAAGATGAAAGGTATGCCTGGGAAGTATGTGAGGTTGGTCCGTGCTATGTACAGAGTGAGAGATTCTGGATAACTCGGTATTTTAATAATAAAACACGGTGTGACTTCATAGCATGTATTGAGCGACTCGCTGGGGAAGACGCGCGGTGGCGCCTACCTACATAATACAATATTAATTTATACCTACATATATCACACCTCCCTTCTTAATATATGGTATTATCAGATATTATTAAGTAAGGTACATAAATTATGTAATCACAAATGTACTTATAATAATACCTTAACTATATAATACATTATCTATAAATGTAATAAACTAAACTAAACTTAGTTACTAAATCTAATAAACTAATAAACTAAGCTAAACTTGAAACCTAACAACAGGTTTACGAACTCGCCCGGATCGGGCTCGAGGCGGTTCAGGCGACGGTGCACTAGGTGACGTTGGCGGTGTACTATATTCGATTCCAGGACTTTTAATGCGGTCACTCGAAACCCGTTTCCTCTCCTTTCCCGAATCACCCACAACCGTAGTCGGAGATGTGACCGGGCCGTCGTCCTCCTTCGACATTCCGTCTCTCGCCGAGCCACTACTATCAGGTATTTGTACCCTCATTGACTCGCTTTGCTCCTCAGGGAATGGTATGTCGTACAACCCTGATCTGCGCTTGATTTGATCAACGTGCTTAACTACTTGTCGACTGTCCCCCTTGTCCACAGAATATCTCCTCGAACCTTCGCCATGAACTATCGTTCCCTTCACCCACCTATCCTTGTGGCCGTACTCTCGCACCCACACAGGTTCCCCCGGTGCAAACGAGCGCTGCACCCCGCCCGTGTACTCCACTTGCTTACTTTGAGCCTGATTTACCTTAATTATGAGCGCGCGATCGCTTCGTAATAAGTCTAGCCGTGATCGTAACGTTCGTTTTTGTAACAGCATTGAAGGGCTTTCACCTGTGCTGCTGTGTATACTGTTACGATAAGTAAGTAAAAATGTTTGCAACGCGGCGTCAACATCGATTGATTCCCTATGTGCTTTTTTTATTGCTTTTTTACAAATATTTACAGCATTTTCCGCGGCGCCATTCGAAGACGGGTGATAAGCAGGCGAGAAACGTTGCTGAATACCATTTCGTGTTAAAAACTCCTTAAATTCCGCGCTAGTGAAGGGTGGCCCTTGATCCGATACTAGCTCTAGTGGTAAGCCGAATCTTGCGAACGTACACCGTAATACCTTAATAACCGCTGTAGCATTTGTTTTTGGCATTTCAAACACTTCTAGCCATTTCGTACTGGAGTCTATTAAAATAAAAATTTTTTTTCCGTTAAAAGGGCCTAAAAAATCTATATGGAGTCTGCTCCATGGCTGCAAATGGTACGGCCAAGGCTGCGGTGGGGTGCGCGGGGGTGCTTGTGACTCCACCGCGCACGTCTCACATGCTCGGCATTCGGATTCGACGTCTGTATCTATATTAGGCCACCATACGTAACTTCGAGCTATGGACTTAGTTTTAACAATGCCCATGTGACCAGTATGTAATTGCATAAGTATTTTTTTTCTTAAAGTGCGCGGTATCACCAAGCGGTAACCCCACATAATACAGCCCCTATCTATGTATAGTTCATTACGTTTAATATAATATTGCTGCAACACTTCTTTTGGGCAGGACGCGGGCCATCCGGACTGAACATAGGTTAAAATTCTACTTAATTCCGGATCGCTTGCTGTCGCCGTTCTGACGTCATCATTTGTGACCGGGAGAAAATTTTCTACGAAATTAATGTAATTCATTCCCTCCGACTTCGGAAGCCGTTTATGTACCGGTTGCGGCAAACGAGATAACGCATCTGCACAATTTTTGTGTGAACTTACATATTCTATGTCATAATTGTATCCCGACAATAATACTGCCCAACGCTGTAATCTCGAAGCGGCCATAACTGGAATGCCCACTTTACTGCCGAAAATATATGTCAAGGGTTTGTGATCAGTCCTTAAAACGAATTTTCTACCATATAAGTACTGATGAAACTTTTTAATACCGAATATTATTGCTAAGGCCTCTCGATCTATCTGCGCATAGGCCCGCTCGGCCGCGCTGAGAGTACGCGACGCATATGCGATCGGCCGCTCTCCCTCTTCAGTGATATGCGATATCACGGCGCCGACTCCGACCCCGCTGGCGTCCGCCGTCAGTACCACGGGTAAGTCTAACGTATAATGAGCAAGCACTTCGCTCGAACTTAATATTTTTTTTACTTCATTGAATGCCAATTGACACTCAGTACTCCACAGGAATCGAACCCCGGTTTTTAGCAAACGATATAACGGGGCCAGCAATGAACTAACATTTCGTACGAATTTACCATAATACATTACTAGCCCAATGAAAGATCGCAGTTCTGAAATATTGGTGGGTGCAGGCGTGTTTACAATTGCCCGGACTTTTTCCGGACACGTGTGAACACCCTCTTTACTAATGACGTGCCCTAAGTAGTTAATAGATTCTGCGAAAAATACACATTTTTCTTTCTTAACGCGCAGCCCGTGAGACTGCAATCGCTCGAACACTTTATATAAATTTTTTATGTGACTACGACTATCAGGACCCGTTATAATTACGTCATCTAAAAATACACCCACGTTCGGTAACCCTGTCAATAATTCTTCTAAGTGTTTTTGAAAAATTCCTGGACTCGGCGACAAGCCGTAAACTAGTCGATTGTACATGTATAAACCCTTATGTGTATTGATAACCGTATACTTTTTTGATTCGTCAAGCTCCAACTGAGCGTACGCCTGAGATAAATCAATCTTACTGAAACGTTCACCGCCATGTAAACGCGATAACAAATCATCTATGCGTGGCAAGGGATAACGGTCGACTTCTAGCACTTTATTCAGTGTTAATTTATAATCAGCGCATATTCTAATATTACCATCCTTTTTGAGAACGGGTACAATGGGTGTGGCCCAGTCGGAGCGCTCCACCGGCGTGAGGACGCCGTCTCGCACCAGCTGCTCGAGCGCTCGCTCCACCGGTTCCCGCAGCGCATACGCCAGAGGACGCGCGCGCATGAACACCGGCCGCGTCCCCTGCCGCAGGTGGATGCTAACCCGCCCGCCGCTGAACCGTCCAAGCCCATCCGCAAATACTTCACTGAATCTATACATAAAATTACTTTCGTCAAAATCCTTATAATTAACATTGTTTACATCGTGATACTGAAACACTGGTAGTTGAATTTTAAGTTCGGCTAACCACTGTCGACCCAAAAGAACGGTTTTACCATCTCTGATTATGAACAAATTTAATTTTTTTTGTGTATTTTTATACCTCACTAGTGGCGTAGCCACCCCCACCGGACGAACTATTTCACCTGTGTAATATCTAAGTAAAACATTACATTTGCTGATAGGTAAATCACTAAAATTATGTTTATAAAATTTGTAACTTATACAAGATACGGCGCTACCCGTTGTAGTATTATACTACTTACGTATCATTTTACATTATTTTAAATTCATTTTTCCATTCCGTTTCGATTTTCTGCATTCACCTCAAAACTGGATATTTTACATCACCTTTATTTCCATAGGATCCTGTAACGATCTTAAACCATAAGAACACAATAACAAATCATTTCTACTTCGTATTTTCACATTATCAGCACTTTTAAATTGGTGTCAATGGAGTCTACCTTTTTTCGATCTTTTAGCTAGTTTTCCGTAACTCTACAATCTTGGGCTTTATGTGGGCAGCTGCGCTACCTTTTTTCCTATATCAATAATATTTCATTTTCCACTTAAATCTTACAGTTTTCTTATTATAAACCAAAAACAAAAATTTGACATGTTTTGTCTTTCTTATTTATATCGTTTCCATGGTAATTATATTCAAATTTGCTACCGATCTGTTATTCCTATTTCGATAATTTCACATAAATCCTCTTTTCTCTTGACCATTTACAAAAAATTTGCGTATAATTTAAATAATTTTTCCGTTCTCTCTAGAAAGGTATAAAAGCCGAACAATCGGTGAAGAAAGGCAGTCTCGCTTCAGTTCGCGAATTAGAAGTATCTCCTACATACATCATCTGCCATTCAGGTAAGGGTGGAGTTCACATTCAATGACTACCACTCTAAAAGTGTGTTTTCGAAACGACATTAAGGCTTATTTAAGGAGTAGTCATCCAATGAATTTAAAATAATGTAAAATGATACGTAAGTAGTATAATACTACACCGTGTCACACTCCATGTCAATATCTTTTCCGTGAACGTTGATTGAAATACATAGCGGTGTACACTCTTCTATGGACAATTTTTTTATATCAAATATTCTTACCTCGTCACTGTCCGTCTCGTCCGATTCGACCACTTTAGGTGTTCCGATGTCTACGTGATGGTACGTCGTCAGGTTTGGGCACATCCGACGTAGATGCCCCTTACGATTACATACTCTGCACACATATGCCGCGAACCGACACTTCGTGCCGCCATGGGGTCCACCGCACGCAGCACATTGTTGTGCTCCGTCCGCTGCTTTTCCTTGCTGCCGCTGCCACCTCGATGCCGTAGGTGCCGTCCTCCCTGGCCGACCGCGTCCGTTGCCACGTCGAGTCGCTGCCATCGCCTGGCACTCAGCCGTGCTCGAGCTGCCCGACGATTCACCTTGCCCGTATCCTTCCACAGCCGCTGCATCCTTCTCCGCCGCCTCCATGTTCACTGCCAAGCTATACGCTTTCCCATATTCCAACGTGCCTTCTGCGAATAGTCGTTGCCTTATAGTTTCACTTAGAATACCGCACACCAGCTCATCTCTTAAACTTTCTTCCAACCATTGACCAAATTCACAAGATTTCGACATCCTCTTCAATATTGCTGCATACTCCGCTATTGTTTCACAACTTTTTTGTTTCCTATGCCGGAATTTATATCTTTCTGCGAGGGTACTTGGTTTTGGTTGGAGATGTTTTTCTAGAATGTTTGTGATTTCCAAAAAAGATTTATCTTTTGGTTTGGTTGGAGTACATAAATTCACTAACAGTTCGTAACACTCGGCTC